CGACTAAGTTCGTATGATATTTTAAGACTTGTTGGTATGTTTGGTTGAGGTCCCGGGGGGCCTCGAGTTGATTTCGGGTTGTTAACAGACCAAGGTTTGAAGTTGAAGAATTGCTGAAGATTTGCAACTGCTGGTGTAATCGCACCTGTGGATTGGGAACCGCAGGTGCGAGGCCGTAGAAGTGGGAAGGGAGCCGTAGAAGCGGTCCAGGAAGGAATTGGCAGAGGTCGCAGGTGCGAGGTCCTTTTTGCACCTGCGAGGCTGCAGATGCGGCGAAGAGGGCGTAGAAGCGGAGTGTGAAGGAGTTGAGGGGTGTAGGCTGTTTCCGCAGAAGCAGATCATGGGCCGCAAAAGCACCTCTGCAGTTACGAGACCTGGAGCGCAGGTGCGAGCCCAGGTAAGTTAAGTGACTTCTGCAAGTGCGGAGTTTTCACCGCAAAATCGGGACTGCGAAAGCGGATTTTGGGACCGCAGGTGCGGTTTGACTGGACAGAACATATAAACATAAGGGTTCGCGATTTTCTTCGTTTTCAAACATTTTGAGCTCGGACTAAAGCGAATTTTGAGAGGGTTTTCGAGGGGATTCTTGAGGTAAGTCCTTTGTGCTTGTTTTTGATAAATAATCTTGTATTCCCATTGATTTTCCCACCTAATTTGGGTGTCTTGGAGGTGTAATTTGAGAGTTTGAGGCTAAGGATTTGGAGAGTTATTTTTGGGGGTTTGAGTGGCTATTTGATGTCGGATTTTTATAAATTTGGTATGGTTAAACTCGTGGTCAAATCGGTTTTCGGGTTTTGTAACTTTTGTTGTATTTTGAGACATGGGCCCGGGGGCCGAGTTTGAGCCGATTTCAAATTTTTGAGTTATAACTTCGTAATTCCTTATAGAATTGATTTCTTTAGCTCATATTGATTGTATTGTACTTCTTATGGCTAGATTAGGGACGTTTGGAGGCCGATTTGAGAAGCAAAGGCATGTTGGAATAGAGTTTTTGCTCGAATTGAGGTAAGTAACACTTCTAAACTTGGCCATGAGGGTTCGAAACCCCAAATTATGTGTTATGTGATTGGTGTTGAAGTGGCGCACATACCAAGTGACGGGCGTGCAGGCATGCACCATGATAATTGTGACCTGGTCGATTCCATGGCACTGTATAGCGGTTCTATCTTGTTGATATCCGTGTTTTCATCATGTGATAAGGTAATTGAGCTGTCACTCATGCTAGATATCATGTTTAGGCTTTATGCCGGTACTGTTGGTGCCCATGGTGGTCATTTCTTGTTGTTGTCTTACTGATTTCATTGATATTTCGTACTTAGTCATATTCAATCATTTCATATCATATCTCAGTCTCTGTTGTTATTTATTGATACATCATATCACTATTTTCGGGCTAGTATCATGACATTGTGAGTCCGTGAAAGAGAGACTAGAGAGATTGATGACTGAGTGAGGCCGAGGGCCTGATTAGGAGTGACATTTATGAGATCAGGCAGCACGCCGCAGTGGTTATACTGATTTATGATAGCGCTTGGGCTGAAGGAGCCCCTACGGAGTCTGCACACGCCCCCGGTGAGCGCGATTGATTATATAGAAGGATTGATCTTCCCTGGACATGGATCTTGTCCGAAGCATTATATACTTGGAGATGGATCTTCTCCACGGATTGGATTAGCCCTACTCAGTACTAGGTGACTGATGATCAGTGATGTATATATTCCGGGATGGATCTTCCCTGGGCCATATGGGCCATATACAGTACTGAGTGATTGAGCATTTGAGAGTGTGACCACATGAGGCTATCAGCATGGTGTATCACATACAACATGTGCGTTGGCATGTAGAAGTAGAGGAGTTATATTCTTCATATTTTTTACTGTTTTGAGATATCAATCGAACTTGAAAGCATGTCTACATTTCTGCACTGTTATTTTTTATATTGAACTGTGCCGATTGAGTTCGTCACTACCTTTCAGTCCAAAGTTTGGATTTGTTACTTATTGAGTTGGTTGTACTCATGCTACACCCTGCACCTCGTGTGCAGATACAGATGCTTCCGGTTACAGTGGCTGCTGAGTGAGGAGTCGAGATCTCGGAGACTATCGAGGTAGCTGCATGGCGTTTGCAGGCCTTGACTCTCCTTCATTATCTTTAACTGTATTTTAGTTCTTATCCCCTAGGCATTGTAGTAGACTGTATCCCGGAATAGATGCTCATATACTCGGTGACACACCGGTTTTGGAATAGATTGTATTGTGTTGCGGATTTATTTCTGTTTCAAAAATGATTTTCTTTAATATAAATTGCTTCCGTATATATTTTCAAAGTTTTTATTTGGTTGAACTGGTTGAGAAGTTGGCTTGCCTAGTTCCACGATAGGCGCCATTACGACGGTTGGTTTTGGATCGTGACAGAAAGCGATTGGTTTATAATATTTTACTAAGCTTCTTTAAGGTTTTATATTTTTTCGACAGGGGTTAGTATTGAAATTTGGACTTTAGCATCTTAATATTTGTGATAATGAAACCCCTTTGATATTTTTCAATATTTCAACCATTTATATGCATTATTGATCAGAACCTGCCAAGGTCTTTAATATTTGTCATAGTTTGGAATAGATTAATCTGGTTTTTTCTCTGTTGTTTTCTTGAACATAGAGGTATTGACAAATTTTTGTAGTTTGTTCACCTCAACAAGTAATGCACTAACTGTAGTATTATAAATGATTTCAATTTTTCTCCAATAAGGACATTGGCTAGGATATTTTAGGTCTGCAAGAGTAATAAAAATACTTCTTCCTGCTGTTTTCATTAATTAGTTAAACTTATCTAGTTGAGGAGAAACTTCATTGGATCATTAAAATAATTTAGAAAAGATTAGGTTTTAATGCACTGGTTGAGATTTTCTTAACGTTGTGAACCAGTTAAGAAGAAAAAAGAGAATAGAAGGAAGTAGTTGGAAGGATTTCCACACCAAGAATTCCTAAATAATTGCACTACTAACTATTTGAGGTAAACCTAAACAAGATCTAAAAACTTTTCATCGACAACACTAAGATTGTCCCATAATAATTATTGGTGGGATCCTAAATTTTGTTCTTATCATTTATGCAATTGAACTTCTTCAAAATATGTTGAACTTTAATATATAAACGATTGAAGCACAGTTTAATTCATGCAAATTATGACATATATTAAGCTCCTTAATTTTGTGATTAGAAGTTTGTAAAACATGGTTGTCTGACTCTGATCGAGGCTTAGGGGCGTCTCAAGCACACACGGGGCCTAAAGCCAAAGTTTAATATGAGGCCTAAATTTTTAAAAGAAAGTTATCAGATATATTTTTATTTGAAGTTTATTCTTCTAACTTTTTGAGATATAAAGTTGTTAATAATTTTTTATATAATCCATTTTCTCTAATAATTCTTGCTCGAATGATAATATAGTCAAAATATCTAATCTTTCTTGAGATATTATTGATCTTAGATAAGATTTTACAAAGCAATAGAAGTATAGAACTATTGGGAGCTTAAAAATATTGCTGAACACTTAAACTAGTGAAATCTTGAAAAAAGAAGGTGAGTAAGAATAACAAAGAGAAACACAAACAATATATAGGGTTTTCTGAAATATAAAGAGATTGAAAAAAAAGAAAGATTGACTTGGACAAATTAAGAAAGAGAGAGAAAATTATTTTATGAAGGAGTAAAATATGAAAAACAAAAGTTATGAAAACTATTCATCTACACATTTTTAAGTAAGATAAATTATCATTTTATTTATATATCTAAAATGTTTTCTTTCCTTTATATATATTATTTTTTAAATACATATGGACCTATTATTATTTTTAAATGGCCCCCTAAATTTGGGGGCCTAAGGCACACGCCTTACTCCATGTAAGGTTGGAGCCGGCCCTGTCCAGGCTGCTACTTGATAGTGACAGGGAGGAAAAATTAATGTTACTTGAGGATTCTTATTGGGCGTCTCGACATAAAATTGTGAAATTCCGGAAAAAATTGATTTTTTTTTTCAAATGAAAATGGTATTTGGAAATTAAAGTTGTGTTTTGACATACATATAATTTGGAGCTATTTTTGATATTTTGCAAGTGATTTGAAGTGAAAATTTTGAAAAACAGTTTTTTGGTGTTTTTCAAATTTTCGAAAAATTTTAAAATTGATCTTCAAGTGAAATTTGAAATTTTCATGGCCAAACACTAATTCCGAAAAAAAAAAATTTTTTTTTTTTGAAAAAAAGAAAAGAAAAATTATGGCCAAACGGGCCCTTAATTGATTTCATTGAAAAGTTATCTCAACAAGTAATGAAAGGAAGAAGTTAATGAAGTAAATTAAAGCAACCTAGTGATCATTAAGGACAATACCCCTTTTGTCTTTCTAAAATCTTTTTTCACCACCTCAAATTTTTCGGGGATAGATAGTCTAATGCAAATTATAACATGATGAGGGTGATTCAACAATGAGAGTAATAGTTTCAAAGAATCTAAGTGAAGACAACATATAAATATTTGATTCTTGAAAAGGCTAAAGTAACAGTTAGTGATGTCTGTCAATTAGTAGGTTTAAGCATGATAAATGACACAAGATATATATGTATAGTACTATAGGTGCAAGACTCATTTGTCTCTAGTGGTTCTTGTTAGCTCCTAAAAATTCTTTGAGATGGACAACAATTCAATTGATTTTATATCTCTACAAGCCAATTAGAGGATACTTTATTTCCTGTTTCATTTTCACTTCCCTATATAGTTGAGGAATTGTATTAGTATCTCATGTGGGAAGTGGTTCTTGTTAGCTCCTAAAAATTCTTTGAGATGGACAACAATTCAATTGATTTTCTATCTCTACAAGCCAATTAGAGGATACTTTATTTCCTGTTTCATTTTCACTTCCCTATAGTTGAGGAATTGTATTAGTATCTCATGTGGGAAGGACAAATACTTCCTTTTTTCACTTTTTCATTAAGTCGTTTTTTTTAAAGCTTAGTATTTGGTGGCAACTAATCCTCCCATTAAATACCAGGTCGGCTAACCTCAACATCAAGTCTTCCACTGTCTCCTTTTTCTCTTGTCTCTCCCTTTACAGAGACACACACAAAAAAGTCATTTATCTTTTGCTTACAAAAATGGGGTGCAAATCAGTAGACAAGACAAAGCAAAAGCACAAGAAGGGATTATGGTCCCCAGATGAAGATGACAAGCTCAAAAACTATATCATTAAGCATGGTCATAGCTGCTGGAGCTCTGTCCCCATTAATGCCGGTTAGTTAAATTCACATTCTTCATCTTCAAATTTTCATAACATGCAACACATTAATTTGTTGCACTGTTGCTAATTAACTGTGGCCAATAGTATATATATTATTTCCCACTCAAGTGTAATTTTGTACTTCGACGCTACTCTCTAGTATAGAAATTTTCTGATGTAGATTTCTGGTGTTCTTTGTTTAAGGTGCATGAAAATGTAAAAGAATGAAAAAGGATTGTTGTATCACATCCTTGTCAATGACAGCAATATCATTTTTTTGATGATTGGAGATATGAGCATCACCATGATTGTTAACTCTTTTTTTTTTTTTTTGGCAAAATACAAAAAGCTAAAAATGTACATTTCTCTTTTTTTTCTTTCTTGGTGTCTATTTTTAATATTTCACGAATGACTTCATTCCAGCTGTGAACAAATTACCCAAGACCATGTCTCGTTGACGAGTGTATTCGTAAAACAATAGAAATTTTTTTTTGTTAATGAGTAAAAGTTTGAAAGTATGTTTTTATTTTGTTGGGAAAAGTGGGATTATAATACAATAAATAAAATTAAAACAGTACGATGGCTTATGTACGTAGAAATAGGCCTCAGCCGAGTTCGTTATCTTTGGCTCAATACTTGTAACAATAACAACAACAACCCAGTATAATCTCACTAGTGGGGTCTGAGGAGGGTAGTGTGTACGCAAAACTTACCCCTATCATGAGGTAGAGAGGCTGTTTCCAATAGACCCTCGGCATCCTTCCCTCCAAGAACTCCTCACCTTCCTCTTGAGGTGACTCGAACTCACAATCTCTTGGTTGGAAGTGGAGGTTGCTTACCATCGAAGCAACCCCTCTTGTCCAAGAGTAACAACTTATAAGATGGCAGCAAGAAGTCAACAAACAATAGAATATTTTTTGAGAAATTCAACACAAGCAGAGAGAAAGAGAGAGGTTTATTAAGACCACGTCTAACATGTATTATCGTTGACATCAGTGGTATTCCGGTTAATATAATTAATCATTTTACAGGCTTGCAAAGGAATGGAAAAAGTTGCAGATTGAGGTGGATTAATTACCTAAGGCCAGGCCTAAAGCGAGGGGCATTTAGCTTAGACGAAGAAGAGACAATCCTGACCCTCCATGCCATGTTTGGCAACAAGTAAGATAATTTGTGTTATCAATTTGTTTAAATTTGACCGAGAGAATAAACTTTTAATTACTTAATTATATCTTCAATAATATCTCAAATAATAATAATTATTCTCTCCGTCTCATATTATCTGTCATGATTCTCTTGTACGCGGCCCTTTAAAAATATTAATTAGGATAAAATTTTGACTACTTTATATTTATTCATGTCTTAATATTTAATCTTTGTTCATTGAATATTTTCTCACGTCATATCTTCCATTAATGACGCTTCTCGAATTCGAAGGGGTAGTCAGCTTTTTTGACTGCCTCAACCATTTTAAACTAGAAAAACACAAGTATGTGGTAAATAATTCTTGTAAGTTGACTTCAAAACAATATCCTATAAGGATTCACCTACTTTGCTGCCAGTTATATATATTAACAAATATTATGATGGTCGACGGACTTTTTCTAAACATGGTTATGTGAATTTCTCAAGAGCGGTAGCTAAAATAGGTTGTTTTATTTATGAATTTAATTTATATATCCTAACAGTGTAATAATTTTCATATTATCAGTTTCTAAAACAATTTATCGCATTATTTTCAGGTTACTAAATTACACTTGCTTATACAATTACATGTCGTTTAGGTTATAAATATATATTATCATTGCATAGACGATAAAGTCTTTATTTCTTCCAAAATTTCTCAATTCTTGCAGTTAATTAGACATCAAACTACCTAGTTTCACAACTTCTGACTAGGAGCTCTTGATTCCTTCTTTTAAATCACTCTGAAAAAGCCTAAGGCAAATCACATGAATTGTAAGTAAAGAATAACACACACATAAATAAATATATATATATATATATA